CCCACCAACGCTCTGGTGGGGGAGTTATGTGGGCTCTTGACCCTACTTATGCATTGTTTAAATTTATCAATAACAAATTTTGTTAAACTCGAATACAACTTTTCCACTAGAATAGTCTGATAAATCCCTTACTAGCAGTTAGCCTACCCTATAAAGTTTTCCGTTGCGTATTCGCTATGAATTTTGTATGTTTGTAGCGATCTAGCCTCTACAGGATAGGTGGTACGACAAAATTTTTTCATAGCATTCACTTGCGTCTTTTTTGGCTTATGTATCATTCTCCCATGTGCCCTCAGCTCTTCTTCTTGCTCTGAAATTTCTGGTACATACCTAATAATTATAAGCTGATATTTATTTGTGAATTTGAGTAGTTTGCTGATAATTGTCACTGTAGCACATCGATCATTTTCTTCCTCGATATCTGCGGAGAATCTTTAGGTTTATATTGTGCCATCTACCTAATGACCGTAAAGTTTAAGGTTGTATAGGGGTCCTAACATTAACTGATAAATATTCACAATTGCGATTCTAACATTGCAAATTCAGAGATCCGAATAATAAGAGCAATCTTTACTCGTACGTGACGCAATGTTTGCATGTACCTAAAAAGAAGCGGTTGAAACAAAAGTTCTAAATCTCAGCTAATATAATCGTCCGGATGATGGCCTCGGACGTATTTTCAGGTGTCCTTTTTTACGTAATTCAATGCGACTCGCCAGATGTAAGTCTTTCTTTGCAATCTGATATATATTTTTCACACAACTTCAAACGTGACCAACATCACACCCCTTAAGTTGTATACATATGCGTTTCAAATTTGCGAAAATTCCCGTTGTAAATATCAAAAGACAAATTAGCAGGCATACGTTTGCTTTAAGTAGATTCTCTTCGGGCCTGTATATTTATATGGTAATTAAAAAATGAAAATGTAAAGGCCTGAAGGGAATTTATCGAAAGCAAACGTATGCACGCCAATTCATCATTTGAGATATACGTTTACCGAGCGCTAGCCATCAAATTGACAATTAAAACCCTAAATAGACGTCTGAAACTATTATACGTTCGCCTATCAATTATTATGCTGAAGCCGTTTTATACGTAGTGGAATAAGTTTCTTTTTGTACTTATTTGTATGATGGTAGGTAGACGCTCACCGATCGGTTGCGGAACTCAGTCACGCTGCTGTGTCTTGGAGTGTTCTCTCGAGCACCGCCAGCAGCCTCTCAAGGTCTAGCATGCATTATAGGCATGCACTAAACTAAGGAGTTTGGAATGACCATTTCTGGCCTATTAGCATTCATCAACCAGTCATACCCAACCCCAGGTTTGGCGATTCGCTGGTATGGTTCACCATTCTGACAACACAGGTATCAGATTAAGCCTGAGACATATATTGATCCAAGTTTTTGTCCCCATATAACAGCTGCGAGGTATTTGGTTCGTCAGTTTGTTCCACAGCACCCTCGGTGTACTCTCTTCCCTGATAACTCTCCTAGCCGCTGCCTGCCCTCCCCCACTAGCACCTCTGATTTTCGGCCTTGTGCGCCTCTAATTATGTAAATAGCTGAATGTACAGATCCTGCGTTCTTAGTTGGGGTGCAGTTTGTGCCTGCAAAGACTACTGACAGGAGTTAATCAATAACAAAATGAATGGCACATTATCTGTAGAGGTCACCCCTGGGCGAGCGTGATGTTATCAACATTTCATATACTTTGAAAATTCCAACTTTTCAATCCCTTCAGGAACAGGCATCTCAAAAATTTAATTAGAAATGGGTGCACTATTTTGGGATGAGCAACGTTTGTTTAAATCTTTCAGTCTTGTTCTCCAGCTCAACCTCAGGGATATGTACAAAACACAACCTCTTAATTATGCCGTAGGATAGGTTCCATGGTTGAACAGGGTTTACAGAAATATGCGTCCAGTGTTTCGCTATCCGTTCGGGACTGGTCGCGTTCGTTTTAATTCTCTTCTTGAGGATATTGTGTGTAGCATCCGGATCTATATGCCTATTAATACTGGCCGCTTTTGAGTACATCACCTCCGGGAATCCGTTGTCTTCCTCCATTGGACAGTCGTCAACGTTTTGAGTTGTATCACATGCGAGTAATCATAACCGTTTGCTATTAACACTACCTTAGAAACAAAGTTAGCTATGCATTAAATACGAGTTGCGTGGACGATTGCACCACCATCTTGATTAAACCGCGACATCTGCTTGCTAAGCCTGTGTTTGACTACTGTGGTGCCTTCATCGTAATCCGCTGAAAGGTTGCCCTGATAATGTAAGTCGATACAACCTTCCCTACTTGCATACTCTGTTTCATCGCATTCGTATACATTTAGGGATCCTTTAAAGTTCTTTGAGGTAACTGTTTCATAGAGACTCTGCAGGACTGCTTAGTTTCGCCATAAGCCTTTAACCTCGAAGGATGTGCACTTTCAAGCACAGGGAGACAGAATTGACTAATTTTATTTATTTATAAGTACCTGAACTCATTGTCTGTAGCTTGACTAGGATGTTCTGCAGTTTTATGTCAACCTAATGGCTTCGAGCTGGAACAATATTCGACACTACACTGATAATCAGTAGGTGTATTCTCATGTCCGTATTCATACTTATTCTAATTACGTGGGTGACGCTCGCTGACATGAATTTATGGCCTTATACCCGGCTGCACGAGTCAGCCTGGCCTCAGGATGAAATTTTGCGTTCCAGTTCTATCTCGCCACTATTTAAGCTCGGTAAAAACTGCTCGAATCACTTTTGCAGTTGCTTCTATATGCCATAGTAATCAATCACCATCCACCCTGAGGACGTCACATGAAGGTTTAGCGGTTTCATATTGTTATAGCAGACTTAAAGCTAGGAAGGCATATGCAAGCGCGATATAGCTCAACGGCATTCCCGTTTATGCCGGTCTTCTTGCTCACCCGAACATCAACGTGCTTCAACTCCGAAAATGTGACATACTAATGTTCCTCATAATTTTTAATATGCGGCCACTGTTAAATTTCGGGTGCACCAGTGGAAAAATTCAAGATTGATTTCCTATTTACTGTTGACTGCATATGTTGCAGTTGGTTAAGGAGTCAGCTATATCATTCAGCGTTCTGAGTTTGCTGCAAAAAGTGATAATCCGTCTCGTCCTTGTTCTACGAAGAAGAAATATATTCTTTATAGCATTCAGTTAACGTGCAAATATTTTTCAATGATTGGAACAACTGATCTGCTCAATCAGATGCCGATTGTAAATAAATCACCTTACCACACGGCATACTTTCATTTAATAGAACTGTGCGGTATTTTATGGCTACCTTGACTACTCACAAAGTTATGCTTACGATTTTTGCCGAGTTTGCGAATAACTGCATTGCATACGCTTAATACAAACAGGAATTCTTCATTACCCTTTAACCCAGCTCGCTACATCACGTTACAGTTGCAGTTAGGATTATTCATTATTGTTAAAAGTGCTTACAAATGCTTTTTTCAACCGTTCTTCCCTTCTAGCTCATCGACACACTGAAATCCCGACGGGCAGTGAACCATCCCATTCTCTCAGATCGCGTGAAGTTCGCTATAAGTGACGATAATAAGTCAGATCAGGTTGGCGAGGCCGAGGATCTTTACGCGATTCCCGTCGTTACGGTAGGGTGTTTTCTTAAAATTCATTTTTAAAGTCCGAATGGGTTCGTTTGTCACTAGAGACGAATACTTTTCTACCGTAAGTTGCACCTCCCAATGCGTAATCCTCCTCTCATGCAGATTTGCACCATTTCATCCAAACTTCCGGAAGATTTTCACGGATGTTACTGCTGTGTTTTCGGAGGTTTGTTTCTTTTTCATTTTCAAACCCCTCCTGTAATTTCATTTTAGCTTTCCCTGAAAGACTGCATCACGCTTTCAGCACACATAACAATCCGTGGGGGCCTTGTAAAGACTACTTTAGATTCGTCAGTTACACACCTTATCTGTGGCCGGGCTGCTGGGGTATGCGAACGTTGCCTCATTGATTAACTCATTTGCCGCATTGTAGAGTCTTTATGACTTTTGCGAAAATTGCATGCAACCGGACAAAGTGAAAATAGTGTCTCCTGATTGGGTAATCGAGTGTGTCAAGGCCGACAAGTGCATTAATTGGGACAACTATAACATCGACTTGTTAGTCAAACCATCGCCTCCCAAGACCATAAAGCCGAAACCTGTTCCTGCACGACCAAGTGCACCTGTAAACGATCCGCAAGCGAATGCGCGGGCGATGGCTGCCCAACAACAACAGCAGCAGC